CCCCCCCCCAAAATATGATCAGGCAAGCAGTGCAACGAGCAAAGAGCTGCCCCCCCCCCGCCCCGCCCCGACCCTGCATTCATCACTACAAAAAGGCTGTACGGGCCTGAAGGGCTCTGTGAGGGAAAGGAAAGTGGGGCTGGAATACCAGCCCCGTAGCCACAGTGTTACTCAGATGTTCGTAAAAATTCGCGATTAAAGGAAGGAGAATAAAAAATAAACTAAAAAAAGGGGGTTCCAGATTGTTGTGATGAATATTTTTTTTTTAAAAAAGTTAAGGTCGGATTTAATGGAAGTCATGTGAAAGCTGTATGTATAAAAAGTCATGTGAAGGCTGTATGCATAAATCTTTATTCATTTCGCGGGGCCTGCAAATGGGAGGGAGGAGGGAAATGCATGAGCGACAGCGACAGAATGATGCAAAACTGAGTCAGAGCGGAATACAGAACTACACGCAGCAGCAGCAGCAGCCCGGGGAATGCAAAACGGCAAAGAGGCGTAAAATCAAGCACAGAGCGAGCAATGCAAATATGGGTCACAGACAGAGCGTTGCAAAAACGAGCCAAACGGACGCAGAATCGGGTCAGACCCGTACAAAACCGGGTCAACAGCACCTGAAAAATGAGCCAAATGCGCAATCGAAGTGGTCCCACCTAAAATAACGCCAGGGGGTTGAATGTAGTTCCGAAGCCCGTCGAAAATCCAAAAAAAAAGGGGACATCCCAGAGCGAATGTGAGCCCAGAGCCTCCCATGGCTTAACAATGGGGCGTCGAACCAGCCTTCATGGCCACCGCCACGATCAGCACTTCCCCCCAATCCAATCCAACAGCGTCCACGTGCAAATTTCGCCACTGATATCACCACGTAAGTACGCGATTTGCATCAATCTCTGCACCCTCTTCTTAACCGTGCACTCTCTCGCCTCTGAAATCCTTCCCCGCAAGCCAGAGCAGCTACTAAAACTCGGTTCGGCAGCGACGCCTACTTCAATAACTACTGCAACTCGGCTCGGCTGGTGGTCGTTGGTGCTTGGGAAGCTCTCCGTCATCTCTGGGAACAGTGTTTCGTGGCGTCGCTCACCGGGATCGTTTGACAGCCTGCCAGAAAAGCAGGGCAACGTTACCCAGCCGCAGCGGCTGCATGGCCTGGCTGGTGAAAAGGCAGGGTAGTAGAGGGGCAGCCGTGGT